TATATATATACAAGGAGCATACATGTATAGTCAAAACTGGTTGCTACTAACAAGAATCAAGTGTTTTCAATTGTGATATCTCCATGTATGGATTACTGCTCTGCAGATACATCTCCAGAGCTTTGGGGTATTATAATCCACTTACCCAATTACTGTATTAGATCCTGTCACTAAAAGGGATCTTGATTTTGAGCAGGCCTCTCTGAAAGCCCAGAAATTGCAATTGTTGCCTCTATAGATAAGGATGTGCTGATTATATATCTCAGCTGACTACTTAAAATTTAAATTTGTAGAATATCAAAAACAAAGTCATCAAAAGAAACTAGCTTTAAAATAATACCCTATGACTTCATATACAACAAATTTGGTATCAGAAAACAAACATATTTTTGATTAAACAAATTAAAAAATATTTGCCAGGGCCAGGGAGTTAACCTGAATTGACTAGAAAAGTGCACAAAGGAATTTTCTGGGGTGGTATAAATTTCTGCTTATTACTTAGTGTGATGATTATACATGCAAAACTCATCCAAATGAAAACATAAGATTTGTACATCTCATTGGATATAAATTTTACATCTCTCTTATATCCATTCAATACAGAATGAATAGTTATAGATTATTGGTAGCTATAGATACAAAAGTCAAAGGAACCATAACATTGAGAGAGCTGTGTTGGCAAAATGAAAGTAATGTTAAATGTCTGTTGATTTCAATGGAATGCACATCTTGGATGATTTCCTGTCATAATCATAATTTACATACCCATTAGGATCCTTTTTCTTCCAGTTTGCCAAGACACAGTCTGCATAAAGCAAAATAGGAGGGAGCCCCAGCTTCTCAGAGAGTTGACAGTATGGAACAGCAATATTTTTTGGCAGAACCTAATTAAAAATAATATTTATTATACACCTTTGATGCTTCTCACTTTTCACCTGCTTTTTGTGAGTCAAATATTATATGCTCTATACAATGTCATTTTGAAACCAAACAAATATTTGTATTCTTCGTCCTCATTTCAGAACTTAACAGTGGCAATTGTTCAACACTCATGTTTGAAGTTGTGTAAATGTGAAACTGATCACAGATAAAATCTGACCACAGAGAAAATGATGAGACAGAGACCAAGAAGAACAAAAATAAGGTCACCCTTGAACTTGCAATTACCTCATGAGTTGTTTGCATTCATTAATTTATCCATCACCCAACAAATAACTTATTAAGTTATTCCTCTATGCATGGTACCACATTACCCATGGATACAAAGGAGATAAAAATATGGTTGATACAAAGATTTAATTAATTTTTTCAAAGAAGTTCAATCATTTGTAATTAAGACTTTTGAAGATTAAAAAATAACGGTGAGAATAGAATGCTGCTTTTGGACCACATACAGAAAAAAAAAGTCTCTGTCCAGAGTATTGTATAGAATAACATTAACTTGAAGATTTACTGTGGTGAAAGGAGGAATCACCTTTACTCTTGCTGTAGGAACTCTGGCAGCATAGTGGTTACGAATCAGGCTGCTAATCTCAAGGTCAGCAGTTCAAAGCTACCAGTTATTCAATGGGAGAAAGATGTGGCTTCCTGCTCTGGTAAAGATTTAAAGCCTTGGAAACCCTATACAGGGCCGCTATGAGTCAGAACTGACTCCACAGCCCACAACCACCACCACCATGTTTCTATGTAGAAATATATCAATCAGTGTGACACTTGTGGCTTAGCTCAGGTCTTTCTATAGCAGAGGTGCAGAGTTTTGGAGTGAAAATTGAAATCTAGTTCAGTCTCTTCCCTCCTTCCTTTCTTCCTTCTTTATTTCCTTGAGTTTGCCATTCATAGAATTCTGATTTGTGTTCTACCCTGTAGTAAAGGCTTCCTGTCCCTATGAGTTGGAACTGACTCCACGGCACATAACAACAACAATTGATGTAACAATCAATGTAATAATTAGGGTAATCTTTGTCATTAACCTGCAGCAAGAATATGTGTATCTAGTCAGAGATAGGAGTCCTGGTGTAGTGCTGTACTATAAGTAAAGGTTGATGATTTAAACCCACAAGCCATTCCTTGGAAACACAATACAGGGTTGCTATGAGTCAGAATCTACTTGAGAACACATGACAACAATAGTCAGAGCTAGGGCAGGAGTGGTGCAACTCCTGTGGTAGAACTGGAGTGACTCACTCCACAGTGTTGTAAAAATCAACAGGACTATAATCCAAGTGACTTCAGTCTACTTTAATATGCTTAGTGAAGATGGTTTAACCAAGAGAATAAGATGTTAGAATAAAATCATGGACATTGAAAGTTGCGCCTAGAAGCGTGCTTTCTGTTGCAGAACTTGTGCCTCTTGGAATTGCGACATTTTGTTGGTTATTTGCAACTTTTTCAAAAAGAAAGACATTCTACCCCTTTATGATCAAGACAAAAACAAAACAATGATGAAAGAAATTTAATGTAACATTTACATTAGAAGAAAGAGAAAATGTTCAAAATACCTTGATGATAAACAATCATGCAGCTGCTAGAAACTCATGGGCTTATTTCTTATCCATTCTCAAGAAAAAGTCACATATTGACTTAACTTCCTGCTATTTTCTCACTAAATGATTTTTACTTTTATTTTTTTCATTGCAAGCTCCTCAGATACTTTTTAGAATTATATGCTATATAAACACTGAACAAATTATAAAAAATATTTTAATAATTCTGATCTCCTTATACATCATTGTCTTTATACTTTTGGATTATGATCTATTTCTTTTTTGCTCTTTTTCTTTTGTACAAATTCTATAAATCTTTTAAGAAACAAAGTTCTATTTACTTCTTGAAGCTCTTCATGATCATATCAACTATTATTTCCTACCTTTAATTTCACTTATCATATGCTAAGTACAGAAGGAAAAAAATCAACCTTGTGGTTCAAACTGATCTTGCAGTTCAGTGTTTATCTTGCAGCACCACACCAGGACTCCTCCACACCAGGATTTGCCTATATACTTATTCAGATTATTAAATCTAGAACTCTAGTGACACTGGGTGCTTAGCTATATTTTAGATTAAATTGTAAGAACGGAACTAGTTTTAAACTTTTTAGTTTAGTGCAAATCCAGGATGTGGTGTTCTATAAAGTTTGATGAGTATAACTCATCCACACATGTGGACCCCGCAGTTTGATCTGAACCACTAGGTCAGCAGTCTAAACTCACCAGCTTCTCTTTTGAAACCCTATACAGGGTAACTATGAGTCAGAATGGGTTGATGGCACTTAGCAACAACAACAAACACACTGCTGTCCGGTTGATTACCACTTATAGCGACCCTAGAGGGTGACTCTAGAGTAGAACTGCTCCCTAGGATTTTCTGGACTGTAAATCTTTCCGGAAGGAGACTGCCTCATCTTTCTCCCATTGAGCAGCTGGTGATTTCAAACTACTGAAATTTCAGTTATAGAACAAACACTTAATCTACTGTGCCAGATGTGCTTCTTTTGATGAATATAAGGAAGTATAAAATGTTCCCATAATTATACAGAACAATTTGTCCTTTCATATCAGAAAATAATTTATCACATAGATAAACTGTAAGTGTTATCTATCTTTAAACAAATAATAAAAAGAAAAATAACTTCATAAAATGCCAATTATCTTTATCAATAGAGAAGAAACTTAGAATATATGACAGAAACTGCTTCCAAAATCTATCTCACTAGTTTATTGTAACTTAAAACTTAGGCATTTCAGTCTTTCTTGCTTTCATGTGATTAGGGAGGTCAGATAAAATATAGGATACTAAAGCTGCTAACCACATCTTTTGGGAGAAAGATGATGCTTTCTGCTCCTGTAAAGATTTACAACCTTGGAAACCCTATATGGCATTGCTATGCATTGCAAGTGACTCAACAGCACACAACCACCACACCACGTAACTTAAAAGAAAATATTCATTGTTATCTGAAATTCAAATGTTACTGGACATCCTGTATTTTTCCTTGCTAAATTTGGTAGCCCAACATTGACTGAGAAGACAGGACCTTTGCCTCACTAGTGGAAAGAGAATAAACATAGGCAATTTCCTTAGTTTACAGATATATTTGACACACTTATTTGCCCTATATCTTGGAGTCCTGGCGTGGCACTGCTTGAATTTGGTAGGTGGTTCAAACCCACCCTCCTCAGAAACCCTATACATGGGTCGGAACCGACTCAGTGGCTCTTAACAGCAACAGCATACCTATACCTTGATCTAAGAGGAAAATGGCTTTCAAGAATTAATTTGTAATGGCTTTATTTATAATTGCTATCATTTTGATAAAAATTAGACCATGATCGTTGTTGTTAAGTTTCGTCAAGCTGGCTCTGACCCATAGTAACCCTGTAAAGGTTTACCGAGGCTGTAAATCTTTACGGAAGCAGAAAGCTTCATCTTTGTCCCACGGAGAGGCTGGTAGTTTCGAACTGCTGACTTTAAGGTTCCCAGACCAATTCGTAACCACTGTGCTACCAGAGCTCCTTTAGACCATGATTATCTTATAGATAAGTATTTTGTTGTTGTTGTTGTTGTTATGTGCCGTGCAGTCGGTTCCAATTCATAGTGACCCTACACAGGGTTTCCGAGGCTGTAAATCTTTACAGGAGCAGACCGCTTCATCGTTCTCCTGCGGAACCACTGGTAGTTTCGAACTGCTGATCTTGCGGCTCGCAGCCTGATTCGTAACCACTATGCTACCAGAGCTCCTTATAGACATGTATTAAGATGACATTGTTTTAAATCGAAGGTTATCTAATGCTAATGAGAGTAGAGCAAAATCTATATATCTTTCTATATTGGCAAATGTAAGACAATGCTTGGATCAGCAGTTCAAATTCACCAACCATTCTGAGAAAGAAAGATGAAACTTACTACGTCCATAAAGGTTTGTTGTTGCTGTTGTTTTAAGTGCCGTCGAGTTGGTTCCGACCCAGAGCGACCCTGTACAGGGTTTCCGAGGGTGTAAATCTTTACGGGAGTAGAAAGCCTCATCTTTCTCCCGCGGAGTGGCTGGTTTGTTTCGAACCGCTGACCTTAAGGTTCGCAGCCCAATTCGTAACCACTACGCTACCAGAGAGCTCCTTCCATAAAGGTTTACAAGCTCAGAAATCCTACACAGGGACACTATGAGTCAAAACCATTAGTACACAGCAGCAGCAGCAAGACAAAGATATAGACTTAACTAAGGACTCCTGGTATGGCGTTGTAGGATAAGCACTGGACTGAGAACTACAAGGTTAGCAGTTCAGAACTACCAGTTGCTCGTTGAAAATCCTATACAGGGTCACTATGAGTTGGCACTGACTCAACGACACTTAACAACAACAACAAGAGCCATAGTGTTTATACCTTCCAAAAGTATAAATACAGAAAATGTGTCATGTTCTAAGATATTTAGAGAAGTCTTATTTACAATAGCAAAATACTTAAAACAAGTAAAGTATGTATCAATACAGGGCTGAATAAGTAAACTAAAGTTCAGACAATGAAAAATTAGAGTCATTTCAAAATGCTGATGATTATGTAGCAACTGAAAAATGCTTGCATTATGTTATATTGAAAGAAGAAACATAGTTATGTATATACACAGGATAAAGTCACTTTTTTGTAGTATATAATTAAAAGACTAAAATGTGATTATAATCACTGACATGTTAAAAGAAACTGGATTGTTTTTCCTGCTATCCATATTTCAATAAAAAATGTAGCTATATTGTATTTATACTTATATTAAAGGCACAGTGGAATATTTATAATGTATAAGCCATTATAATAGGAGATCACCAAACCTCACGGACATCTTCATCTCCCTGATTCCACACATATGCCATAGTGATATATCCCAGAGCCAGACGAGCAAGGCGTTGCAACTTGTGCTCCTGGAGATCATCAATGCTGAACTGAGGCAACTGAGAATACATGAAAGGATTAACTCAAATCAAGGTGGGTAATGTTTTTGGCTTCAATACCAAGTTTAAAATGCTGAGAAGCTATAAAAGGAGAAGACAAATATAATAAACAACTCAAACCTTTTCAACTTTTGCACGTAATTGTCCAGTCTTTATTAGCTCAGGCAGATTTTTAGCAATGAAAATCCAGTCAGCATACTTATCGGGTAGCTCCTCCTAGAAAAAGAGAAATAGCACTTGCATTGGCCAATGGAATTTATTTTTAGTAGGCTTGGCTTCCCACTGATAGACTGTTTTGCTCCAACATCTATTCTGCCCTGACATACACATTTTTGTCTAATAATGATGGTCCATGAATTGTCACTTGCAAACACAGGATACAAGACTTTCTCTATGCCCCTACTCTCCCCTCTCTCAATTCAATCTCTTTCATCTATCTCTTTTTCTAAATTCTCCTCAAAAGTTGCACTAAAATCTTCCTGACCACAACTTCCAGCATACATCTCCCTTATTATCAATCTTACAGCTATACCTTTTCACTGTTATCTATTACTTATCTTGATGTAGCATTGTAGGATAAGTACTAGCTTGCTAACCATGAAGTTGTCAGTTCAAACCCACTCGCTTCTCTTTGGAAACTCTATACATGGTCGCTATGAGTCAGAACTGACTTGATAATACAAACAACAGCACTGCTTACTTCTCAAGTAGATTTTAATTCTTTGAATAGAAGAAAAATGAGATTCGTTGTCAGTAGTGGACTAGGTAATCGACAATAGTTTTATATTCATATTTCATTTAATTCCTATAAGAATCCCCAAAGTTGAACAATCTATCCATGCCATAAATATGGAAACCAAGGCTCAGTCTTGTAACTTCTTTTGTCTGTTTAGTTTATTAGAATTCAAATATAACTTTTACCAACTTTCAAAATCCATGGACTTTTTTGAATGTCTCAGTATCTGATGATAAGGATTATAATGTGCTTTCAATTCCATTTCAATTTCTCATAGGACCTGCACAGTACTGAGAAAACATGAGGTCTATTCATATAAGAGTGTATATTGTTTGCCTACTTTGATAGATGCAAAATAGAAGTGCCTTCCCAGAGTCTACGCATTTATGAACTCATCTCAGGAAGAATCAGATACAAAAGAAACTCAAGAAACTCTCCAAAATGTTAGACCAATCCCTCAACAACTCCCAAACCACTCACTTCTATACCTCCTCACAAACTATTTTAAAGTAAGTCTTTGGGGTAGGGTGGGGCAGTCATCAACACTGAGCTATGGTGCCTGACTACAAATAGAGATGTGAATTCAAACAGACACAGGTAGAAGGTTTTAACTTTAAAACAATGTTAATATTACAAGTAAGCTATAAATCATGACCAATGTAAAACATGATTCAAAAATTTCCAACATCTGCTTGAAATTGGACAGTCTTAATCAGGTTAGGCATATTTTCATCAACGAATATTCAGGCCACATATGCACTCAATACCTACAATTCCTGTTTGTCCATAGTATTCTCCTTGAGCATAAAAATATGATGCGCTAGTATTTTCAGAAAAAAAAAAAAACATTTTATTTCGTTCTGTGTTTCACTGTATAACACACCTCCATTTTTTATTGTTTCTATTTCCCCAAATAATAGCAATGCATATTTTCCCCCTTGTGGATCATGTTCATAATCTTGTGACAAATGATCAGAAATATACTTCTGGTTCAGAGAATCCCTTAAAGGTATAATTTTATATAAATAAGTGAAGAATAATTCACAGATTCTTTCAACTGTTCCAGTTGAGAAAATGTACATGGATCAGGTTTAAACCTTGGAATATATTCTAGAGAGCTCTATAATTGCCATGGTCATTTAATTTTAAAAGAATCAACTCTTAAAATGTTTGATATGAAGCTCCAGATGTTTCTGAAAAAAATTGTTTTATTGCACCATTATAAATATTTTATTGAAAACCCCATAACTTGCTAAGTGTATGTGTATGGAGGGGTAGGAGACAAGTATAAAGATTATTGATTTGTACATATAAAACAAGCTAGGCAGTCTTAGTACTGAAATTAAAACATAAAACAGTTTTGTAAAATAAGAAAACTTTGAAGACAAAATTAGATTTGGAGGAAACAGTTACTTTATATTTACCTATATATGCAAGTTCTTTATAGGATTATATTTATAAGTACAGCTAAGGAATTTGGGGTCTTCAACAAGACTATATCTGCTGCATTTAGAAATATTCACTAGCATGTGGGCTTGAACAGTATGTACTGCAAATAAAGATATACTGGTATAGAATTTATATACAACTGTCTCAGGATGGGACTAGCTGAGAGAAATCTGAAATCCTTTCCATGAAGTTCATGCACTATATTTAATCCAAGAATGAATAATAATAATAATGGTAATAATAATAAAATGCAATATCTTGTCATCTCTTCTCAAGAGACGCAGCATAGCAGAATAGTTAAGATCATGCACTCTGGAGCCAGAGTATTCAAGGCTCAAATTGTAGCATTGGTACTTATTACCTGTGTGAGCTTGGGAAATTACTTCAATTATTCAGACTTTATATAATCACATCTCATCATAGAAATAAGGATAATAGCATGCATGTTTTTTGCCTTTAGGATGATTATGAGATTGCATTGAGTTAATATTAACAAATTCCTTAGGAAAAAAATGTTATGTAAGTTTTGAATGATTAAAATAGCATTGATAGGTTCATTTACATGACCTTCTTTCAATGACAAATTAGAAAAATGTAGTTCTTATGGTAAATATTTTTACTTTCATGCCTTATACCCATTCATAGTTAAAACAGTCAACAACCAAAAGTGACTCAGATTCTCCCTTCAGTTTTATGCTCAGTGAACAGCAATCCATATTAATATAACACAATGCTGATTCATGTGATATCACAGAATCCTAATCAAATTAGTTACCCATGTTATTACAGTTTAGTGTAGCCATTGATTAAGGAGTTTCCCTTTGACTGGTGGGAATTGATGATTTTGACTTTTTATGATGATTCTGGAAATGCATTCGGATTAAATCAACTTTTTATTTCTACAGAATAATTCTTTGGTAGAGATGAAATATTCTCTACAATTTCCTTATTTCATCACTGTCTTTTCTATTTAAGATGATTAAGCATAGTGTCTAGAGCTACATTTCTAGAGAGAATATTTAAGGAAGGGTAAGTGAAATAAAAGTTATTCAAACTGCTTCCAAGGTTGTTAATACTGTAGTCCTTTGTTAGTAGAAACTGCTAAACCATAATTGTCCAATAGAAATTAATATTCAAGGTAAATAATGAGGAGAAAATAAATTTGCCCATATTTCAGTGCCCTTTCTTACCAGTGGATTTGGCAGAATGAAGCCCAGATCTTCATCTATGTGGAATTTTTTATCAATGCTAAAAGAGTCTTCCATAGGAGAGTCCTTATCATGTGCCATTCTTGCAGTCTACTCTCTGGTCTCTCTGAGTTTCTGAAGAGATTCAGAGCATCTATTTATTAGAGTGGATGCTGTAGCTAATGACCAAACCTTTCTCATGTAGGCAGTGAGACAAGACTTCCACCTTCAGAATAGTTTCATTTTTGATTTTCTTTATGTGTCAGCTGATAAGGGTGAAAGCACAAAAGCATCTCTGGATATTATATGAAGAAACTGAAAGTTTATATACCTTATCAGTTTTTTATTATTTATTGATAAATTAATAAATGTATCATATGGGAAGGCAGAAATGTCTTGACAAATAACCAGAACATAGAAAACATGTGCCCAAAGCAGTACATGTTATGGAAAAGAAAACATGTGCCCAAAGCAGTACATGTCATGGAGAAGTTTAGAATTTTTACTTAGAATAATAAATTTGACTGTGGATAAATTACCAAACTTTTTTCTATTTATTCTTGTTAATGGCTTTCATTTGAGCTTTAAAAGTCCTTTGAAGACATCAATGTCATATATCCCTGTAACAAATCCATTACACTGATTTTTTCTCAATGTCTGTGAATCATTAAAAAAAAAAGCAGAAAGTACATGAAGAATTCATAAAGATCACATCATTTCACCTCCTCATTAAAAAAAAAAAAAATGTCTTTTATCTGTGCTCACCATAATATTAATTTCTTCACATTCCTAAGAAGTAGCTTTGGGAAAGATTTTCTAACATCTGTATTTTATCTAGAGACTGATGAAGCAATAGTAGGATACAGTTGAAGACTTTGTAATATGTTTTCAGAAGCTGAAAAAAGTGGTGTGGTTCCTTGAAAATACTTTTCTCAAAATGCAAACTAAGACTTCACTTGGTAAAATTTTTCAAGGATTTGAAAGTCTGTGGTCACTCAGAGGCATTGTTCTTGCTAATAAAGGTGAAGCAAAAGCAGAGGTCGTGGCCTTCTTTTGAATAATCATAAGAAAATAGAAGGCATGAATGATTAGTACATTGGGATACAGTATGAGGTCAGTTATCTAGCTTATTGGGACTTGAAATAAAATGTTAATAGCTCTTGACTTTGGCTACATTCTGGAAATGTTCTTATATGATTCATCTTACATTTTAACTATATTTGGATGATTGAGGTTTGGTCATTTTTATTTATAAGCATGTAGTTTACAAGAATATGTTCTCTGTGTAAGAACAGAAAGGAAAACTGAAACCAAAATGACACAGCATATTAATGTATTTGCCAAACTTCTTTAACAAAATGATTCATGAGAATGATGGTTTTGCGATCGGGCCAAAGTTGGGGGAAAAACTCATGAAGGCCTTTCCTGTGGAACAACAAAAACTACCAACAAAATATTGAGAATTAGAAAATGTATGAATCATCTTATGATTTTTTTTTTGTAGGTGAATTTTTATATAAATAAGTCAAAATAAAAACTTACAGTGAAGTGTAAGATGATTCTATCTTGGAAAAGATCTCTCAGGGTTGAATTTTTAAGAAACATGCCTTGGCTAAGTTTGTTCCTGGCTTTCTCAAGCAGTACCTTATTAATATGTCCTGTGGGCTTTAATCATTTAACACTTCACTGTAAATTTTAATTTTTACTTAATCACATAAAAATTCAGATACAAAAATGAAAAATCCTAGGTACATTCATACATCTAATTTTCAATATTTTGCTGGTAGAAATTTTCTTGGCTTTCTCAAGAAGCTACTTTATTAAGTGTCAGTTTGAGGACTAAGGTGCAACTGACGCAAGCCATGGTATTTTCAATAAGCTCATATATATGCAAAAGTTGGACAGTGAATGAGGAAGATAGTAGAAGAATTTATGTATTTGAGTTATAGTGATGGAGGACAATGTTGAAAGTATCACGGATTGCCAAAAGAACAAATAGATCTGTGTTGGGAGAAGTACAGCCAGAGTTTGCTCCTTAAAGCCAGGATGGCCAGACTTCATCTTTCATACTTCTAACATTGTCTGGAAGAACCAAGCACTGGAGAAGGATATCATGTTTGGTTAAATGGAGAGTCGAAAAGGAAGAGGAAGTCTCCAACAAAATGAACTGGAAAAGTAGCAGCATTAATGGGCTCAAACGTAGCAATGATTGTGAGGTTGGCCCAAGATTAAGCAATGTTTTGTTCTATTGTGCATTGGATCACAATGATTTGGTACTGAGTCAATGGTACCTAACAATAACAAAACCTTATTAAATCTATCCTACTGTCCACTTCAGGAGCCCTAGGTGGCGCTATGAGTTAAAGTTCCAGACTGCAAAGCCGTCTGAACTACAAGGTCTGGGGTTCAAGATCACCAACCGCTCCTTAGAAGACCTATGCAGGGATGCTATGAGTCAGGATAGACTCAACGGCACTTAACAACAACAAAAATTGTTCAAGACAAACCAGAAATAAAATCGACAAAGACACAGAAGAACTAAACAACACAATCAGCCAACTGGACCTCATAGATGTATACAGAGCATTCAACCCAACAGCAGCACAGTACACATTCTTTTCCAGTGCACATGGAACATTCTCCAGAATAGACCATGTGCTAGGCCACAAAACAAACCTCCATAAATTTACAAACATCAAAATACTACAAAGCATCTTCTCAGACCACAATGCTATCAAATTAGAAATCAACAATAGGAAGACCAAGGAAATAAAGTCAAATACATGGAAACTGAATAACACCCTGCTGAAAAGTGACTGGGTAGTAAAAGAAATTAAACATGAACTCACAAAGTTCCTAGAAACAAATGAGAATGGAAATACAACATATCACAATCTTTGGCACAAGGTGAAAGCTGTGCTAAGAGGAAAATTTATTGCAATAAATGCACACAGCCAAAAAGAAGAAAGAATCTAAATTAACACATTAACACAACATCTACAACAGTTAGAAACAGACCCACAGAGGGAACCTACAGCCACCAAAAGAAAAGAAATAATAAAGATTAGAGCAGAAATAAATGAGATACAAAACAGAAAAAAAAGAATCACTAAGACAAGAAGCTGAAGAGTTGTACTCCAACACATTTGAAAACTTAAAAGAGATGGATACATTTTTAGAAAAACATGACCTACCTAAACTCATACAGAGTGAAGTAGAAGAGTTGAACATACCCATAACAATGGAAGAAATTGATCAGGGCATTAAAAAACTCCTAACCGAAAGAAGTCCAGGCCTAGATGGCTTCACTGGTTAATTTTATCAAATATTCAGGGAAGATCTGTCATCATTTCTACTCAAATTATTCCAGAATATAGAGGAGGGTGGAAAACTTCCTAATACATTTTAGGAAGCAAGCAGAACCCTCATACCAAAACCAGGGAAGGACGCCACTAAGAAAGAAAGCTGTAGACTAATATCCCTCATGAACATATTTGTAAAAATTCTCAAAAAAATCCTAATCAATAGCATCCAGCAGCACATCAAAAAGATAATACATCATGACCAAGTTGGATTCATATGAGGGATGCAAGGACGGTTCAAAATTAGAAAAATGATCAACATAATCCATCATATAAATAAGAAAAAGGAAAAGAACCACATGATCATATCAATTGATGCAGAAAAGCCATTTGACAAAATCCAACATCCATCCCTGATAAGTAGGAATTGAAGGGAAATTTCTCAACAGAATTAAAAGCATATATACAAAACCAACAGCCTGTATCACTCTCAATGGAGAAAAAATGAAATTCTTCCCTCTGTGAACGGGAACCAGACAAGGATGCCCTTTGTTACCACTTCTAATCAATATTGTGCTGGAAATCTTAGCAAGAGCTATTTGGCAAGATACGGAAATTAGAGGCATCCAAATTGGCTAGAAGAAAGTAAAACTCTCTGTAATTGCAGATTATATGATTCTATACATAGAAAACTCCAAAGACCCAGTAAAAAAGTTACTAAACCTCATCAGAAGATTCAGTAAAGTGGCAAGGAATAAGGTCAACATACAAAAATCAGTTGGATTACTCTACACCAAAAACAACAGCACTGAAAAGGATTAGGAAGCAATACCATTTACAACAGCTGCCCAAAGGATGAAATGTCTAGGAATAAATGAACCAGAGAAACAAAGGACCTATACAAAGAAAACTACAAAACACTACTACAAGAAACCAAAAGAGACCTACAAAAATGGAAGAATGTACAATGCTCCTGGATAGGAAGATTAACATTGTGAAAATGTCAATACTGCCCAAAGCAATTTACACAAATAATACAACCCCAATCTAGATTCCAATGACAATTTTCAAAGGGATGGATAAAAACAATTACAAACTTTGTATGGAAAGGAAAGAGACCCAGGATACACAAAGCATTGCTTAAGAAGAATAAGGTTGGAAACCTTTCACTTCCCAACATCAAACTTTATTACATAGCTACAGTGGTAAAAACAGCCTGGTACTGGTATAATGAAAGATATATTGATCAATGGAACAGAATAGAGAATCCAGAAATTAACCCATCCACATACAGCCAACTGATTTTTGACAAAGTACCTAAATATATCAAGAGGAGGGGATAGTCTCTTCAACAGATGGTGCTGGCAGAACTGGAAAGCAATATGCAAAAGATTGAAACAAGACCTTTACCTCACCCCTTATACAAAAACCAACTCAACATGGATTAACGACCTAAATGTGAATCCCAAAATTATGAAGGCCATCAATAAAAAAAAAAATAGGAGAAAATGTGAGGGCTCTAATTCAGGGAATACACAGAGTACCAAACATTTTGAAACCTACACAAACAAAAGTAGACAACACAGATGATTGGGATGTACCAAAAATTAAAAATTTATGTGCATCGAAAGACTTCACCAGAAGAGTAAAAAGGAAACCCACAGAATGAGGACAACATCTTTTGCAGCGACATCAGAAAACCGATTCATTTCTCAAATATAAAGGAAATTTCACCTCTACAAAAAAAAGACAAATAATGCAATTAAACACTGGACACAGGACATGAACAGACACTTCATC